CGTTGCCAAGTGCTACAAGGAGCACTGCTTTGCTGACACAGCTGTTGGACTTTAAGTTCGACCAGGTAAACTTTGAGCAAGATTTCAACAGATGGGAAACTTTGAAAATCAAGTATGAAAGACAAACAGGTCTTGTTGAACAAGACAACAGGAGCTTTGCAGCAACATCTTAGGCTGAATGCTCGGACTTTACAGACATACCAGCAGATGCGTGACACAATTGTCGAGTACTTTCGTTCGAAGCTGATTTTAACGCCTTCGGCTACCTCAGCAAACTTAAGCTTTGCAGGTGGAGGACATGCCCCTATGGATATCGGCTTTCTAGGAAAGAAAGGCAAGAAAGGAAAGGGCGAAGGAAAAGGAAAGGGTAAAGGAAAGAAAGGAAAAGGAAAAGGGCCCCACTGGGGATACTTTGGTAACCTCAAGGGCAAAAGCAAAGGAAAAGGAAAGGAGAAAGGAAAGAACTTTGGTTCAAGCGCTTCGGCCTCGGCTAAGGGAAGCAGCAGTAGTGGGACAGCTTTGTGCTGGACGTGTGGTAAGACAGGCCACTTTTCGAACAAGTGTCCTTGGAACAGAGTGAGTGCTTTAGAAGAAGAAGAGCAAGAGCAGCAGCAGCAGGAAGAGGACTGGTCTTACTTTGGTGAGGCTGGTTGGGAAGAGTGGACAGTTGGAGCGCTTTATGACGACTGGTCATGGAGTGACGGTTGGGAAAAATTTGACGACAGCTGGGACTGGTATTCGTACCAGGACTTTGGCTGGAGCGAGTGGCCAGCAGAGCCACAACAGCAGCAGCAACCCGCAAGCACTTTGCCTGTGCAGAACCCTGCGCCGCAGCAAGAACAGAGCTCTACTTTGCCCAAGGCAGCAGTTTCTGCTGTCACTGTAAGTGAGCCTCCGGGACTTTCAGCCCCAACAAGGCCAAAGGCAAAGAGCTCTGTTAGTCCTGGTGCTTTGTTGATGTCGGCTGTTGTCATGAGCAACTTTGCGCTTGGAAGCATTTTTGGGTGTGATGACATGATGCGTGGAGTTGTTGACTTTGACTTTAGTGGTGAGCAGTTCGCGTGCTCAGCCCCTTCCGCTTTGCTAGCGCCTTTGGAGACTTTTTCGCTGAACAACAGCGATGCAAAGAGACACAAGCTTTTCCAGGCCTCAGATCTGGATATTCCGAACTTGAACACTTCTTCCAGAGACACTTTTCTTGAGGAACACTTAGTTGCCTCAGCCGTGCAGGAGGATGCTCCTTGGATTCTTTTCGATTCAGGAGCAGCAGCTCACTGCTGTCCTTTGGACTTTGCTTCGGATTGGCCACTTTTACCTTTGACAGGTAAAGCACCGCCTTTGAGATCTATTTCTGGTCAAGCTTTGACAGTTTACGGTAGGCGTTTGGTCAAGGTTGAGTTCAATGGGCAACCTTGTTTTCTGCGCTTTTATGTTTGTGGTGTTCCTTACTGCGTAGTTTCTGTTGGCAGACTTTTGAGACAAGGCTATCAGGTGAACCTCTCCTTGGATGAACATACTTTGAGCACACCAGATGGTAGGAAGGTTCCTGTAGTCAGACATGGTTCTTTGTTGTTCCTTTGTCCTTCACTAACAGCTTTTGATCCCTTGGAATTTGAGAGCATTTGCAATTCCTTTCATGAAGCCAATTCCAAAGGATTACTTGTTGCGCCCACTTTTCAGACTCCCTATCATCATGATCGCTGGGAGCTTTCTGGTAACGCCCTCAAGAGGATTCATAAGAGATCCGGCGCTACTTTCTTTTCCCCAGACGGGACTAAAGACAGGCCCGTAGAGTTGGATGATCTTGCTAATGACCGAGTTGCTTTTCTGCAGTACGAAGATGGTACTACGCAAACTTTGACGGACAATTGGCGTACAGTGGAGAACCCTAAGGGTAATGCTCCTAAACGCTTTGTAGGTTACACGCTTTTTAAGTTGAAGTCTCCAGTTCCTGCCAACCGAGTTTCTACTGGTAAACAGTCCACTTTTCCAGCGTCCAAACCACAAGCTTTGCAGCAACTTTCGGAGCCTCAACCCTCACCCAAACCTTTGCCGCCAAGGAGTGTTGAGGACAGCTTTGCTGCTTTGAGACTTTCACAGGCCTCAGCAGGAACTTTAGAAGCCTTCAAGGTAACTTTGCTTGAGCAGCTCAACGAGCAAGACCCTGCAACTGGACAGCCTTACACGCACGATGTTTGGTTGAACTTTCCGACTGTTTGGGTTCGTATGCACTATGAGCTTCGTAGTAACCTTTTTGTTCCTAACGATCCTGACTTTGAGCAACAGTTAGGAGATGGTCGCATGACTTTGATCGTGCGTCCTGATATGGATCAAGAAGTACTTTGGCATTGTGATAACTGGAGGCAGATAGGCGTAGGAGAAGGCCTTGAAGCTTTCATAGGTGCTACCTGCTTTGAAAAGGCAGAACTTGAAGTAGTGCAAGCTGAGCCCGAAGGTGACGACTTTGTAGCTCAACGTCCTAAAGGCCTTTTGCAGCCAGGAGAGCCTACTTTAACTGAGCGGCTAGAGCACGAGTTGACTCACCTCCCTTTTAGGCCATGGTGTGAAGTTTGTTTGAAAGCTAAAAGCAAACAGGCTAAGAGCAAGAAGCTTTCCCTCAGGCAACCTGTGTTGCAAATGGACTTTAGCTTTCTTTCAGATAAACCGGGCGAAGACCAAATCACTATTTTGAATGTTGTGGATGTTCTCAGCAACATGGCACTTTCAGTAGTGATACCTACGAAGACCCGCACACCGTACTCTAATGCCGAGCTAAGACGCTTTGTGCTAGAGACCGGCCGTACTTTTGGGATCCTACAGTGTGACCCAGAACCAGCTTTGAAGGCCATAGCTGAAGCGGTCACGGGTGAAGTAGGAGGACTTTCCCTGCGTAAGACCCCTGAAGGATGGAAACAAGCCCATCAGCACTTTGTCGCTGACGCTTCTGGTGTCTTTAAAACCCGCAGTGTTAAGCGTTTGCCACCTTCGAAGCAGGCAGACCTGGCACTTCTGCAGGCCATTAAAGCCAGACCTTGGGACCCACAAGGCTCTAAAGTTGAGACGGACGCCTTCATCTTTCCAGCTTCGCCGTCCGAGGAGGCGAGCGGTGAGAAGGCCACTTTCGAGCCTGGTGTTCCTTTAGACCCCCAAGCAGTTGAAGAAGTTGTTGAGCTTGAGCAACTTTTGGGCCAAGACATGCCAGTTGAAGATGATGACAGCGTGTACTTTCCATCCGAGGATGGACAGGAAGCCCCTCAAACCACTTCCGCGCAAGCAAGGTCAAGCACTGACGCTGCTTTTCCTGAGCCACCCGCTGTGCGACCAAGACTTGAGGAGGCCTCTCCGACAAAGCGCACCTCGGAAACTTTGAACGTGGGAAGCTCTAAGGTTCAGCGCATTGCTTGCGTAACTCTGGACAAGAAAACGAAGAAGAGGAAACTTAGAGCCCACGACTTTCGAGTTGCAGCTGTCACCACGAAGCAAGACCTCGAAGTGCCTGTAGCGGTGAATCAGGATGAGAGAGAACTTTCTCTTTCTAAGACTCCGGAAGATCCGCAACTTTGGTACGAAACAGAGTTTCCGTACGAGGAAGAAGTTGCAGGCATGAAGAAAGAGGTCAAGAGCGTGCAGGACTTTCAGATGTTTGACGAAATCGCCGTCGAGCAAGTCCCAGATGAACTTTCGCAACAGGCGATTTCAACTAAATGGGTCAAGACTCGCAAGGGCGATGGGACTGTGCGTTGCCGACTTGTTGCTCGAGGTTACACTCAGACGAGATCTTTGCTTCCACACCGTCGCTGACGACCTTGAAGCTTTTGCTTGTGTTGGCAATGGCCTTTAACTGGCACATTGCGGTTGGTGATGTTTCCACAGCTTTCTTGCATGCCTCTGTGGACTCTGACATCTTTGTCATTCCACCGCTTGAGTTTTATCCTCAAGGAGGCGTCTTGTGGAAGTTGCGCAAGGCACTTTACGGGCTCCGAAATAGCCCAAAGCTGTGGCAGACTCACTTTGCCTCCGTTATGGCCAAGAACGGCTTTAAACGCATGAAGTCAGACCCAAACCTTTATGTTCACGAGTCTAAACGGCTTTACGTGTTGGCGTACGTTGATGGTCTCATGTTCTTTGGACAAAAGCATGAAGTTGACTCCATGGTGCAAGACTTGCAGTGTGACTTACTTTTGAAGTTGACGGGCACTCTCTCCGAAGGTGAGAACGTCACTTTCCTCGGAAGAGAAATCCGAAGAACCTCTGAGGCCATTGAGCTTTACATGAAATCGGAGTACACTGATCGCACGCTTGAGCTTTATGACATGAAGAGTTGTAAGCCGACTGCCGCTCCGGGTGCAGACACTTTGCGTAAGAAGCTCGATGCTGAACCGTTGAGCAATGAAGCGCACAAGCTGTACCGCCGAGCCGTCGGACAACTTTTGTGGCTTGCGAATGTACGTCCTGAAATCATGTTTGCCGTCAAGGAACTTTCTCGTGGACTTTCGGCCCCCACGACCGAGCATGAAGCCAAGGTGAAGCACCTTTTCAAGTTTCTTTCCGGGGCAAAAGACTACAAGCAGCGCCTGCAGCCCACACTTTCGCTTTCGCCGCAGCACAAGGCTTTGGATGTCAACATCTTTGTTGACTCGGATTGGGCCGGGTGTCACGACACCCGTTGTTCCACTTCAGGCGTTTCGCTTTTTGTTCTCGGAGCAAACATACTTTCCCACAGCAGAACCCAAGCCACCGTTGCGCTTTCCTCCGGGGAAGCCGAACTTTAGGCAATAGGATCTGGAGTTGCAGACGGACTTTTTGTGAGATCTCTTGTTGAGGAGTCTCAGCTTTTTCAAAAGACCAACCTTTCTGTTTTTACCGACTCAAACGTTGGTAAGAGTATCGTTTCTCGTTTTGGCGCGTCTCGTAAAACGAAACACGTTGAACTTCGTTTTCTTTACGTTCAGGAACTTGTTGCGTCAGGCATGATTCGTGTCCGAAAGGTTTTAGGAACTTTAAACCCCGCAGACATCCTCACGAAATATGTTCCGAAGGAAACTCTTTTTCGTCATTTGCCTACTTTTGGTTTTAGTTGTTGATGTTGTTGGTGCTGATGGTTTAGGATCCTTTGTGACTATTTGAGAGAAGAGAGAAACACGTACTTTGTGAGCGCATGTCTTCCTTGGTGAAGCAGTCATGTCGGACATGTTCACTTTGCACTTGCGGACATGTACTTTTGCAGACATGTTGTGCAGTCATGTCAGTCATGTACTTTGCAGACATGTCTTCTGAGTTAGGTTTCTGGACTGTAGTTTATTTTCTTTAGGATCTGGTATCTTTTAACTTTCCAGCCTAAGTTCTAAGAGCTCAGGGCTACTTTTCGAATTTGGAGACCCAGTCTACTTTGAAGCAATCATTTAGAGACTTTTCGCTGACCCTTTCAAAATCAAACTTTTGCCCTGTTATGCGACTTTGCCTTACGGATGGAACCGCAGATGGCCGCAAACGCTGACTTTTTGCGAGACCTCTTGGACTTTCGAACTTTGGTCCGCTTTTGTGAGAGGATCAATAAGGCTTTGGAAGGAAAGGAGACTGGCGACTTTCGAGTTTGGCGTGGACTTTTGGGATAGAAGGATCTATCCTTTTTCTGGCCTGACTTTGCAAGAGGAGCTGTTGAAGACTTTGTCAGACATCAACTTTTGCAAAGAACTTTTGGGTGATATCGCTTGGGCACTTTCTCACCCACTTTGCGGCCGGTCAGAGGAAGAGACTTTGGTTCCGCTGGCTGTTAGGCTTCAAGACGACCTGAAGGTCGCCACAGCCCACTTTGGATACCTCATCCGGTGGAAGAACTTTCTTCCAAACTTTGCAAGGTCCAAACTTTAAGATGAAGGGAAGTGGCAAGGGCATCGTGCCGCCAAACTTTTCGTGCTTCAACTTTTGGGCCACTTTTGCAATACATGCTGGAAGCGCTTTTCGCTGGACGTCAGACTGAGCAACTTTTGCTCCCTGGCATTCCTGTGCGACAGGAACTTTCAAGTGGGTATCTGCTTGAGCGACTTTATCCAGCCAACTTTGGAATGGTTGATCCATCGTATAGCCCTCCGGAACTTTTTCTCATCCGGAGAACAACTTTGCATTGGGTAACTGAAATGGGCCCAGACTTTGTCCTTCCTGGAGACCCTACTTTGTGGTGCCCTTTTATGCTGTATATTACTTTGCCAAGCAGTGTGGTGAATAGGACTTTGCAGCGAGCTTTTCAAACTGGAAGCTTCACTTTGGATCACAGTGAAGTGCCTGATGCAGTGGCTGGATGCATGAACCTTTCTTTCAGCCCCAGGTCGGCACTTTTGTTCGCTAGCTTTCAGCTATCGATTGCTGAAATCCAGACTGGACAGAGGCGGAACTTTGAAGCCAATGAGAACTTTCTGACAGTTGGCTTCAGGTTGTCGCAGTCAACTTTTGCAACTTTGTTTCTGGACAGAAATGCGACCATTTGGAATCGCCGCCATATTGACTTTTTGCTTCGGTGCAACTATTTGCAGGTACCATGGAATCCTCATGGCTTTACTTTCATGGTGCTGGATCACCACTGCAATCCATACTTTTTGTGTGATGAGCTCAATCGCTACTTTGAGGTCCCAGGAGTTCCACACTTTAGAATGATGCATGTGCCTACACTTTGGAGTAGGCATCAAGAGCTTCAGCACTTTCCTGAAGAAGGCATTGTGCCTCTGGGACACTTTTTGGCGCCTCCGGCCCAGCGAAGCAGACTTTGATGTGCTTCATTCTGGAATCACTGCACTTTGATGGGCTGATTCCCCAATACGCGTTTTACAGACTTTTGCTTTGAGCCGCTTTGCAGTTTCACACGTACAGTCACTTTTGCATGAAAGCACTACGTAGTGGCAAAACTTTGATTTGGCAGGTGATGTTAAGCTTTGAATGGTTAAATGCCAAACTTTTCTTGAAACTTTGGATTCAAGGAGGCGTGTGAAGATATGAGCACTTTTCCTCCTGCAATTTAGTTCTCCAAGACTTTGCCAAACTTTGGTTTGGTTCAAGATCGACTTTGCCCTGACAGG